GGGGAGGGGGGGGGGTTGTATAGGGAGGAGTCGTAGGGGAACCCATCACTCAAGGGTCCGAGTACCTCGTAATCATATATTTACCCATGACCTGCGCTGTGATTACTATTACACGAAACACGTAATTATTGGGTACCTGGACCCTCTGTGTTTTATAGGGTGCAGGTGGACACAGATCAAAAGCAAGCATGCGAGTTGAGTTGGTCAATCCAGCCATCTCCTAACCTTGCTCCCAACCTCGACCCTCCAACTACCGCCTATCTAGGTCTAAGTATCAACTATGTTCAGGAGGGTACTACAAGGGTCCTGGATCTCCAATCGTTAGCCTTAAGCCTCAGTGGCGCTGGAAACAGCGGATAAGGTTTTAGGTAGTTACAGCCAGGAGTTTAGAGCTTCTGGGTTTGGAATAGACAGGTTCTCGGGCTAAGCGCCTTCACTGGGTTGCTGTCCAGGAACGTGAATCAAGCTACTATAATCAGCAAACCCTCTTCATTACCATATACCCATATTAACCATGGTCTAGACTCCTAGTATCCCCTTTAATAACCCCTTTAATGCTCCCCTATATAATCCCCCTTCTAAGGAGTGTAGACTGGGTTTGGAGGGTTTGAGGGCCGCAGGCTTCAGAGGACACAGGGCGGTCTAGAGGGTTTAGGGATTGGGGATTAGGGTTTAGGGGCTGAGGGATTAGGGTTTAGGGTTTAAGGGGATTATATAGGGATGCGGGCTTAGGGTTGAGTGGGTGTAGAGCTTAAGTTTTCAGGAAGGAGGGCTTCAGGCTGTAGAGCATTCAGGATCCAGGGGCTACCGGATTGCTGGTAGTGAGCTTAAACTAAGTTACAAGAATATGGGCAATCACAATATATATATATATATCTTGTGAATAACAAGGTTTCCCTTGCTGTAGCGACTTAATGTTCCTTGAAAACAACAACCCAGTTTAGGGTTCCTGGTAACGTCCTTTCTGGAATTCATGGTGTCTAGGCGTATCACTGGGACCCAGTATGCGGCTTAGAATATAGGAGTTTGCAAAAAAAATGAAGGCACCTTTTTAGGGTTACCTACGCCCCAAAAGTATGTAAAATAACAGCCCTAAACCCACAATGACAGCCATACAGGCTATTGTTTTACATACTGCTGGGCTCCAGGTAAGGGTTCTTATACCGAGAAATGACAATACTTCGGGCTGCATCTCGTGGTCTGCCTATTGATGGAAACTGTGATTTAGAGCTTGGCCTTATGGGTTTAGCGTCGTAGTGTTTAGGGCGTTTAGATTTTGGGGGGTATCATGCTTCAGAGTCCAAAATTCTCGTATCTAGCACGTCGTCTCAATAGATTCAATAAAGGACAATACTCCGATCCGCCCAAAGTAGACTTTCAGAACGGACACCTATTGCGAAAGCCTCCATACATCTAAGTTGGATACTGCCCCGCCTCAGTGACAGTTGGATAATAATTGTGATATGGTTATATATATAGCCCTTAATAGGACCCCTGATATAGACTGTTACTGGGAGGGGCAGTACCCAACATCTAAGCAAGAAAGTAGCCATAGGTTGAAGAAAGTGCAATAAATCCTTGATCCCTAAACCGTAAACCCTAAATCCAACCCCCAAGCCCTCAAACTCAACAGCCTAAATCCCAAATTCTGGACCCTAAACTCCCAAAAATCCCGACCTAAACCCTAAACCCTAAAACCTCAAGCCGACTCAGAAGCTGGCTCATTTCCTCCAATGCCGCAGGGACATCCATCGTGAGAACCTGCCAATTGTGCAGCTTGGGCTTACCTGGAGCCCTTTAGGGTTTATAGGGTCTAGGGTTCAGGGTTTAGGGTTTTAGGGTTTTAGGGGTTTAGGGTTTTAGGGCTTCAGGTTTTAGGGTTATGTAGTTTCTCAGTATAAGAACCATTACATCGAATGGTCTTTATGGCTGTTATTATGGGTTGAAGGCGATTAGTTTACATACTTTTGGGGTTTAGGTAGAGGTCGATCACCCTAAAAACACCAACAGCAAGTTTTCAATATGCCACCCAAGAAGAGAATATTGGTTAATAGAATCAATAGCAGTAACAATAATAGTATTCATGTGATAACAACATTACTAGTAATGATCATAGTGACTAGTAAAATACAACATATAGAAGTAATAGCCACAGTGTTGGAGGCAGGATTTTGTTAAGTCTTTGGTGCTCAGTATGATTTGATGGATGGGATGCTAGCAATTCCTAAACCCTAAACCGTAAACCCTAAACCCTAAGCCGTACAACCTAAACTCGTAACTACACATGCAGAATGATTTGGGGGGCACCACACCGGTGGAACCCTTTAGGCTTCTCTGTGGGTTAGTTGTTGGGTACTGCCCCCACCCAGTAACAGTCTATACTAGGGGTCATATTAAGGGCTGTATATAACTATATGATCTTATAAATATTTTCCAACTGTTACTGAGGGGGGGCAGTACCCAAGTTAGTTAGTGAATTTCCCAACATAGGCCCAATATAGACACCAAAACACGATAAGCTTTATTATAGGATCCCCCAAAAGGGTACCCCTAATGTTAGGAAACCCCCAGATGGGGATGACTCGTTTTGCTTCCTTCGTTCCCTGTCACCCACTCCAACCCCCAAGAACTCTTCCCTAAACTCAGAACCGTCTTTCCTACACTCATTAAACTTTTCCCTAACCCTAAACTCTAAACCCTAAGCCACAACCCCTAAACCCTAAACCCTGAATCCCCAACCCTAAACCCTAAGCCCATTCAAAGTAAGGGGTCCGGGGCCTTCTCGCAGTAGGCCTCCGAAAGGTCGGGAAGAGCGACCTCGCTCTGGACCTTCTTGGGCTTTAGGGATGTAGGGCTTAGGGCTTAGGGTTTAGGGTTTAGGGTCTAGGGTTTAGGGTTTTAGGGTTTAGGGTTTTGGGTTAGATGTGTACACGTGACAGGTGCCATAAAGCCGTCCATGAGTCCATGTCGTTATACAGCGGTACTTCACCCCCAAACCCCAAACCCTAAACCCTAAACCTCCAACCCTTAACCTTAAACCCTAAACCCCAAACCCTAAATCAAGTATATGGGTTGTTGCTAAACTGTAGAGGGCCTTCGTATTATAATGACCCGAAGCAAACTGAAGCTGGATAACCTACGAGCAGCAAGACAAACCCCCTAGACCTTAGATTTGGGTTTAGGGTTTAGGGTTTAGGGTTTAGGGAGTGGGGTTTAGGGTTTAGGGTTTAGGGTTTAGGGCTTAGGGTTTAGGGTTTTAAGAGCACTTTTGGGCCTAAGGCTTCTGGGAGGGTTGAGTTTAGGGTTTAGGGGCCTGAATAATAGCTTCCACTCTTCTTTCCCAATAGTGCACTTAAATCTGACAATCCCCCCACTATCTACCTGTCTATCTATCTATCTATCTGTTTATCTATCTATCTATCTATCTACCTATCTATCTATCTATATATCTGTGTATATTGCTATATCATATACTGACGTCCAAACAGGCCACAATAATCGCTAGACCCTAAAACCCTGAATCCCTCGTCACTAAACCATACACCCTGAAACCCTGAATCCCTAAATTCTAAACCCTGAATCCTAATCCTAAAGACCTAGTAGCCATGTCATGCCTTAAGCCTTCCACGTTAGGGGTGCGGATTTAGGGGTTTAGGGCTTTAGGGTTTAAGGCTTTAGGCTATAAGGATTTAGAGATTAGGGGATCTAGGATTCTAGGATTTAGTGGTTTTGGGTCTAGGAATTCAAGGATTCAGGGTTCTGGCGCTTGGGGAAGACCTTGTGAGACCGTAGTAGCAAGCCTGCCCTGAAGCCGACGTCCTAAAATCCTAAACCCTAAGCCCTAAATCCCTAAACCCTAAACCCTATGCCCTAAATCCCTAAACCCTAAACCCTAAATCCCTAAGCCCTAATGCGCGGTTTAGGGCCTAGGGCTTAGGAACCCTGGCCCCTTCACAGGTCCAGAGTAATCCTCTCCCCCTAAAATTACCCCCCCCCACCCCCTTAATATTAAATACTCCCAATATTTGTAGTACTATACCACAATGGGGAGTATTTGATATTAGGGGGTATGGGGGTTTTAATACTAAAAGGAGGGGATCTAAACCCTAAACCCTAAACCCTTAAGAGGAGGGGATTAAACATGTTTCTCTCGAAGTCTGAGGTTGAAGCTCCGCACGTCTGTCGCTTGCTCACAGTACCTTAAACCATAAGACCTGAACCCTAAACCCCTGAACCCTTAACTCTAAACCACTAAAACACGAAAACCCTAAAATCCTAAAACTCTAAACCTTAAACCCAAACCCCTAAGCCCTTCACCCTAAACCCTAACCCCCTAAACCCAAACGAGGTACACTAGTAGACTTCAGGGCTCAAGGTAAGTACTGCTTTTATAAACTTTATGGGCCAAGTAGGTTTAATCTAGTGTAGACCCCTGATTACTAAATCCCCTCCCCTTGTAGGAACTATTGTAGGGATCCTAATGTTTAAGGCCCTTGTAAGGAGGGCGTTTCTTAATCAGAGGTCTACATTATAGACTTCAAAGCCCGCGACTGTAGACTCCGAGTAGGGTTTTTATAGACGTAGATGCCCAAGGTTACAGTCCCTGCTATCCTGTCCTTGTCGGGAAATTCTGATTGGTGCCTTCCCTGCAGAGTACATAACACGGGAGGCGCTGCGGTGTTGAGAACCACCTTTGATAGATTTTTCTTCGCGCTGGTAGTGGCCGCATAGACCACTGTATTATCGACCATGAGACTTCCAAATATGTACAAATGAGCATCAGCTATCCCAAGCATCGTCGATCCCCGACAAATGAGCGACGCCCATGCCGCCACTGCTGGACACGGGTCCAGTAGATGGAGTGCTGTCCTCGTTTTTCAATGGTTGCTGCAGGTTGAGCTGTTCATCCAGTGGCTCATGCATAGCAGATTCGGCAGATGTACCATCGTAGCTTTGCTGGTTTTGAAGGCAACGGCCCTCGCTGTCTGCGTCAGTCGACGTATCCTCCAACCCTTCCAGTAATGTCTCTCCACGTAGAAATGCCAGCGCAGAGTTGACGGCGTCAGCGTTGGCATCGCTGGTCTTTTGGGGATCTGCGCGGGCATCCAGCAATAAACTCAGAGCCTCCACTCTTGGTTGAATTCTCACATGCGGATGAAACCAATCATCCTGGGGGAGGCAACAGCATGCAACTTCAAAAGGAGTCTGCATGTCATGGTCTGTAACATCCGGCTGCGCACGCGCTTGCAGCAGCAATCGCACAACTTTCGCATGAGCACGCCAACATGCGATATGCAGGGCGGTCCGACCCATTTCGTCCGCCAAGTTTGCATCCGCGCGTGACTGGAGGAGCAACCTCTCTGTGCTCCCGTCACTCGTGTAGCGCGCTGTCGCCTGCAACAGAGCAGTTCTGCCCTGCTGGTTTCGCACATTCGGGTCTGCCATAGCTTCGAGGAGCAGAGAGACAACTCCAAACTTTCCGAAGTCCTGGGTTGCTGCTACTAGGGCTTCGGGACCATGACGGCGAATCAAATGGACAAAAACATGGGAAAATGAACGAGTAGCCCGGGGTATGAGGGGTTAAAAAAGGTTTTTACAGGAGTTAAAGTAACCGACCGTACTGTGGATATTCGTACATCATAGGGTTTACTTAAAAGACCTTAAAAGGGTTGCTGAGTTGAAGTTCCTGAACAGCAAGCCAGATGCCGTTGAACACGCGTAGTGAAGAGCTGTTGACCCAAATTGGTCAATGCCATTTGGGTCGTGCCGATCCTGCAACATCTTCTCAATCTTCGACGCCCGCCCTCTGTCCTAGGACATCGAGGTTAGCGGTCGGTCAACAGGATTCAGACTGTAAAATCTGTGCAAAAAGCAAACACAGAAAATGGCAAGCGTAAGAATGCTGGCTACGGAAGTCTTTAGGGTAAACAGGTCAATACTGCCATGAAGACCAACACCCATACCCATACCCGGAGCTGCAGCCGCCACAGCAGCAGCAGAGCCTGCAGCAGTTGCAGCGGCAACGGCGGAAGCAGAACCTGCAGCAGCAGCAGAACCAGCAACGGCACCAGCAGCTTAGCAACAGCAGAGGCAGGAGGAGGAGGATGAGGAGGAGGAGGAGCAGGAGCAGCACAAGAAGGCAGTCCATGAATCTAGTTCCACTTTAGTATCTAGGAGGAACCCCTGGAATCTGCGCACGGCGAGTCCATATACATATCTAGGATCTAGATTACATATCCGTTGCGGCCACGTGGCCCCTGTCATGATGTTGATTGAAAAATTCCTGCATGACCACATTATGCAATGTAACAATACAAAGGTGTGTACAAATACAGAAGGTCGTGCCAAATGTGGCCCATCAACCTTAAGACCTAAACCCCAGCCTGAAATTCTACACCCTCAGCCCTGAATCCTAATCCATAAACCCTAAGCCCGAAACCTTAGACCCTGCTCCGCTCCGGAGCCCAAAGCCCTCCGGCGGGCGACAGAGCTCCCAGTCCCACAGGCAGCTGTGGGCTGAGCGGTAGGCCCGGCAGGCCGCTGGCGAGTAACCCGTCAGGGTACAGTGCTGGACCTTCCTTTTTGAACTTTAGGGAGCCTCCCAGGCCCCTCTCACCCTCTCAGGCCCTCTCTGCCAGCAAATCTTGGGAGCAGGAGTCCTGAGAGCCCGAAGGGGGGGCAACAGCTCGAAAGCGGTTCAAACAAAATGACCGTTCCTCCCACACCCTCCAGGGCCTCTCAGGGCATCCTACCTTCCGGCTTCTCGGTTTCCAGGCGGGTCCAAGTTTTCTAGAGGCTTTCCACTGTCTTGCAGCGCCTCAGGAGCAAAAAAGCTTCAAGCCAGACCCAGCCCAAACTTGCACCTGCCTGGTCTAGACAGGTCCATGTGTTCAGGATTGGAGGCATCCCGCCAAGGCTGCATCTGAAGAAAACTAGGCGCCAAGAGCCAAACCTAAACCCAAACCCTAGTCTGGACAGGTCCAACTGGTTCAAGGCTCGAAGGCCTCCAAGCAAGGCTCTATCATCAAACATAAGAAGCCTCGAGCCAGACCCAGCCCAAACCTTGCACCCGCCTGGTCTAGACAGGTGCTGAAAAACAAATAAGAAGACAGGAGCGCGATCAGAGTTCGAGAGAACCCTAAACCTGTAAAGGTCGAGGCAAGGGTGGAGCGCCAGCGAGGGTGGGCTCACGCAGGTCAACGTGCGCACCTGGGTGCTTCCAGCACCAGCGCACCCCCTCACTGAGACTCCTCAAACCCTACACCCTACACCCTAAATAGTATTTTCTATTTTACTTGCCATGATCACCATATAATCCCTATAGAACCCTGTAATAATCCTATAGAAACCCTAATCCATCTACCGTGGTGGCCGGGCGTCAGCAAAACGCAAAAGCTGCTCAACCTGCTCGGCAGACGACTCAGCGAATGGCAGCTTGACCAGCTGTACCTGGCTTAGGACTTAAGGGTTTAGGGTTTAGTGTTTAGGGGTTAGGGTTTAGGGCTGTAGCGTTTAGGATTTAGGGTTTAGGCTTTAGGGTGTAGGATTTGAGGCTTAGGATTAAGCCTTTTAAAGGGAGTATAGGGGTTCTGTATGGGTTATGTCGGGGTATACCTGGCTCCGGAATTCGCCAAACAATGGATTTAGGGTTTGGGCTTCAAGGGTTCAGGGTTTAGGTCCTCGGCGCGTCAGCATGTGAGAGAATTGCGAAGAAAACGGAAACCACTAAATTCTTGGTTTAGGTCCTCGAGATGTTTACTTTCAGGGCTGTTGATAATAAAAAACCTGCATGACGGTAGTATATCATAGCACCATAATGCCCAAGGTATAAAGTACTTAGGGTCATGCAGGATTTTTAGTACTAAGCCCTAAACCCTAATCCTCGAAACCTTCACCCTACCCTGTAGATTTGTAGTATCCCCCCATACGTCCCCCTGACCCTCCAAGTCGCAGCCTTCATACGATACTTCATATGGGGCTTAGTGTTCACCTCGACGTCCAAAGTATGTAGAGTACGGTGGATACCAAAACTCCTCAGGACCCTCAGACTATAGTATATCAAGGTCATGCAGAATTTTTAGTATCAATAGGAGAATAGGGGCCGGACAAGAACATGGACACTACTGTTTAGGGCTCATGGTTTCAGAACTTAGGGGAAGAGAAAATGGAAAGTACCTTTTAGGATTTAAGGGGCCCCCAAGCGTGGTTTGGGGGTTTAGGGCTTCGGGTTTACGGGGGCTAAGGGGTCAGGGGTCGGCCTGAAGGTATGTAGAAACAATACCATTTGGACTACTGTTGGATTACTCTAGTCATGGTCGTGCCTACTTTTTGGGTCTATGCAGGGCTTATGCGGCTAAGGATTCAGGTTTAGGGTTTAACATGGGCATCAGATTTTAAAAAAGGGTGGCAATAATCTTGGGCCAGAGATGGCCAGACAAAATCCAAATATGAGCTTTAGACTAAACTTCGAATATCTTTCTTGATAAGCAACATGATACTCCACTATAGAATGCCCTAAATAACCCACATAAGGGAGTTTAGACTATAGGTCCTATTTTGGGATGTTCAATTCGATTTTATTTGCAAACCTATGGTTTTGCGGCTAGCTTCTTGAAGTGATAATGTAAAACCCTCCTCTGCTCCCCCTTCTCCATCTCCTACGCTCACTCTTAGTCCTCCTCGTACGACTCCTACTATACTGAGACTAAACCCTAAACCCTAATCCCTAAAACCTTGACCCCAATACCCTAATCCCTAAAACCTTAAACCCTGAACCCTAGACCCTAAAACCCTAAACCCTATATCTGTCAACCAACCCTATATTCCTATGTCCCTAAACCCTACATCCCTCCACAGTACGGGGAATAGGGCTGAAAGCTTGCCAGGGTCCAGGTGTTAGGATTTTGTGGCTTAGACCTAAACCCTAAACCCTAAACCCTTAACCGCTTAGGGTTTAAGATTTAGGGTTTAAGGTTTTATGGTTCAAAGGTTTAGGATTCAGGTTTCTAGGGCTTTGTGAGCCAAGGTTTAGGATTTGGGGTTTAGGCTTTGTGGTCAAAGGTTTAGGATTTAGGGTCGAAGGTTTAGGGTTTAGGCTTTGTGGTGAAAGGTTTAGGATTTAGGGTTTAGGGTTGTGTTGGGTTTAAAGGTCCTGGGTGTAGGGTCAAGGACATTGGGCCGCTTGTTTGGGATGTTTGTATACACATAGCACATAAATTGGGGTTATTATACGGAGAATGGAAAACACAATGGAAGCTACTATTATGGGGTTCAGGGCATCGGGTTTAGGGTCTCCAAAGCCCTGAACCCTAAACCCTGAATCTTATCCCACGACACAATCCCAGCTTCCATTTCATGTTCCACTACGTTCTCCATTATTACAACACGCTCCAGGCACGGTAATGGCAGCATCCAGCTTTGTTCCGTCAGTCAACGTTCGACCTTCATGTAGCAGCCGTTGCCGGAAACGCGGGACCCCACAGACCTTGCCTTAGTGGGGCGGGGGGGGGGCATTGGGTCAATGTTAGAGTTATATTGGGTTTATAATCCCCCTTAGTAACCCCTAATATATTCCCTATATAATACCTTATATAACCCAGGAGTTTAGACTATAGTTCATATTGGGATGATGGAAAATAGAATGGAAACTACTATTTAGGGTTTGAGGTTGTAGTGAATGGTATGGTTTAGGCTTCGAGGCTTCAGGTTTGAAACTTGGTGTTTTCGAGTCAAAGGGGTTGATGGGCTCACACCAAAATTATGAAGTTTGTTTCGGCAATCGTTCTGGGTACATATCAAGGTTTGCCAACAGGTTCCTGGGGCTCAAGGCTTAACAAACTGCGGAGAGCTTAACAAGGTACTACGAGCAGGAGTTGTACATTGCCCTAAACCCCTAAACCCCTAAACCCCTTAACCCTAAACCCCTTAACCCTAAACCCCTTAGCCCTAAACCCCTAAACCCTAAACACCTGGTTTAGCATCTCGGGTAAATCTTCCAACCTCATCCCTTGAGCCCTGCTCGTCAAGCCTTTCAGTTGGGTCCTGCCCCAACCCATTAACAGTCGATTTTAGGGGTCATATTAAGGACTATATATAGATATAATTTGAACATTATCCAACTGTTAGTGAGTGGGGGCAGTACCCAACCTTTCAGCCCAGTAACACAGATGCTGCTTCAGCGTCTTCACGTCACTGAGCCTGAGTTCCCGAAACGAGGTTTAGGGTCTAGGATTCGGGGTGTAGAGGTTTAGTCTTGTGGGGTGTATTTGAATGGAGGGACGGGAGCATTTAAAAAGTACGTGGATACCCCCTCTAACCCATCATACAGTAGCCCTACTTATCCCCATTACTGACCCACTTAATTGCTAAGTCCACCTAACCCTCTAAGTGAGCTATGTTCTAAACTCCTAGTATCCCCCTGAGTAAGCCCTATAATACTCCCCTATATAACTCCCCTTTAAAGGAGTTTAATTAGACTACAGCTCACGTAGGGATTTGGTTTAGGGTCCAGGGGTTTTTTTGGGGTTGAGGATTTAGTTCAAGGTTTTGCCTCCCGCACGCCATGTCGCGGAAACTTCGAAAAATCTCGGACCCTAAGATGAGAAGTACACTCTGAATTCAAGGTTCAGGGTTTAGGGTTTAGGGTTTCAATGGAAATTTTTTAGCAACTAGTAAGATCCCTTTATGTGACCCCCTGCTTCTAACAAAAACTGTAGCCTTCCCCCCCAACCCCCGCCTAAAAAAAGGCAACAGGAGTTCAGAAGTTTCAGGACACTCATACC